AGGCTCACAAAGCAGGCCTTGGAGAGCTAAGGTCAAGCTCTTCATATTTGCCAATATCATTTCGAACATATTACATGTTCAACCCTATACAAATTTGCTTACATCATATTGACCAAGATAATTTCGTCAATTTTAGACCCTATATACGGTTTGCAACCATCCTTATTGGCCGAGAAAATACAATTTTGCGAACATCCGTATTGACCAAAATAATTTCGTTCCTGTTCGCACTGTTTTGCGACCATCCATCTTGGCCAAGAAAATACGGTTGTACGAACATGGATATTCAGCTAAAAAACTCGTCCATGTTCGACCCTACACGGTCTCGATGGTCTCGCGGAAATCCATGTTGGCCAAGAAAATTTCGGCGGATTTGCGACTTCCATATTGGCCCATGAGCCTCCATGTTCAACAGGGATGCCTACTGCGCCCACGTGGCATCTAAATTACCACAGCGGTCATTTCTGGGTTGCTATTCACGTATTCGAATGGAGTTTACACGTAGAGAGACCCTTTCAGCCTTTGAGAGGAGTCCAAAAATGAGGGTCGGAGTAAAAACTTGCGAAACCTAGAAAAATGCTACGATCGACTATGGACAAACCCTGTCGTGCTACAAGTAGTTTGTCGTAGTTGTGACCTACTGATTTTCCTTTAGGTTTCCGGTCTATGAGCACGAAGTCCTGCAAATACCAGTGCTGTCCTGTCTTCGTCTAACTTTTCGAGGCCCAGAAACCCTCGCAATCAACTCAGACCGTGACGTCTAGTAGTAGCATTATTAGCAGCAGCAGCAGCAGCAGCATGAACAGCAGCAGCAGCAGCACCACTACTACTACTACTACTACTACTACTTCTTCTACTACTACTACTACGACATACTACTACTACTACTACTACTACTACTACTAGGACTAATACTAATGATAGTCATGGTCATAGCCAGCTATGTCTCCGCTCTATTTCTTCTTTCCTATCCGAAGACTGAAGATCCCTTAAGTAATGAGCATGTCACACGACTTCGCCGACGTCGAGGAACACCACGTCGCCCGCTACAAGGGTTGTTGCTGGGACCTTTGACCACTGTCCATCACGCATGCATGTTGTCTGAGGAGCAGTCATGCTCCTCAAGGCCTCGCCCGCATCTTGGGCAGTATGCTCGCCCAAAGTATTTACAAGAAGCACAGTGCACACCACAGATACCAGCAACACGGCTCGCGGCCTGTCCCCGCAGGAGTATGACAGGAAGGCGGCAGCAATCGTCAAAACGAAGAACACACTCTGCGCTTGTCGTGCCAAGATGCGCACAAATTGCTCTTTCGCAGGCGGTGCTAGCTCATTTGGGCCATCTTGTTCAAGCCTCGTTGTAGCTTCGACAGTAGAAAGGCCCTCAGCAGGGCTAAACGTGCCAGCATTCGTGGTGGTTGAAGGGTGGAGCAGCAAGGGTGACTGCATTGCAGATGGCAAATGATGGCAAGCTATGGAATTGAAAGCTTGGCAGATTCCGTTGGAGCCTGCCAGGGAGGTCTGAAATAGAACGTCTGATATGGGCTTGAGCCTTGACAAGGTTTATGCCACGTTTAACAAATTTCGCGTATGCCCCTCAAACATACCAGGGCGAGATGTCAAAGGTTCGCCGCAGCAGGAAACCTCTTTCTTCACTTGCACTGGCAAATGCTGCACAAACCGGCGGCTGCTGAACTTCTTTGTTTCAATTGTCCTACGGGCTTGTGCTTTCAATTCACATCACTCCTAGACCAGGTGGGGTGCAAGTCTCTGCTGCCCACACAACCTTACGCGTAAAAACGAGATGCTGACCTCGGCTCAGAAGATGAGTGCCGCCCGTCCCCAAGTAGCCTACAAGACACAAACTCACGCTACAAGCACTTGACATCCAAAAGGTATGCTGAAATGAACCTCTGCCGGGCTCAGTCATCCTTCTTCTCAGCGGAAAACGTGTCATCATAGACCTCGGAAAATGTCAGCCGTACAGTATGGCCCCCATCAGCCAGGCTTGCTTTTTCACTCACTGCTGGCTGGCCTGCCTGCCTGCTTGCACTTAGACTGGCACATGCACGGTCTCTCTTGTTTTGATTCGGGCGTTGATGAGCATACCAGCGTTTGCAGAGGGTTGCACACGCTTTCTGGTGCTTATAGTGTGTGACTGTCTTAGCCTCTCGTTCTCTCTCACTTCTCACACTTTTGCTTTGCTTCGCTGGGTAGACGGACTAGCCGCCAGGCCATGTGGCCCCACAAGTAAGTTTCTCGGGTCACCAGTCACTTTTTGAAGCCGATGGGCGGCTAAGGGCTTAACAAACAAGATTCCACCAACAAAAGAGCGCGAGTGGATTACAGGCACACTGGTTCCTTGGCCTTCTCACTGAGATAAACTACATCCTTCAAAGGAAAGGGAGCAGTGGGGGTTCCTCCATCATGTCCCACCAATCAGTTCAAAACAAGTACACAACCTTCGGCAATAGACACACCTAGTGCACTGGCTTATCCATCCATCCATCCATCCATCCATCCATCCATCCATCCATCCATCCATCCATCCATCCATCCATCCATCCATCCATCCATCCATCCCACCACTAACCCTGCTTCTCCTCCAAAAAAGACCTGACGCGAAAGATTTGGCACGTTTCAAGACATTGCCTTCAGCAAGTAGATGTTCCACCCTGGCATGCCCTCAGCGAAATCACCTGGTGCTCGCCTCCCTGAAGGCCAAGGCATCCGCGCGAGGGCGCCCCAGTTCTTAATTCACACCCACGCGGCACAGGAATTTATTCGCGTCGAAGAAACACTCGCGCAAGCTAACAAAACCAAATTAAGTGAAAGAAAGGGCCAGGGTTTTCTCATTGATGGATTCTCCCATCAAGGCTGACATGGTCATGCTTGCACATTGAGAGCAACAAAAATGACCATTCAGCGACGCAACCAAAAGCACAGACATTTCCAAGCTTTCCAGGGCTTGACGACCCTGTGTGCAATCTGTCTGACGCGAGAATGCCAGATTGCAGTCCGCACTGGGAAGCAGTCGTTGCCAAACTCGTCCGGACGCTGCAGGTCCACTCTGTAGATATGACGCCTGCCGGTCAATACACTCCTACACCAAATAGGACTTCGCAACCGTCGCTGGTCGTCAACAGCTGGGAGCCCAACTGATACAAAAAGATGAGAAAAACCACATCATCTCGTAAAGTCATGTACCTGCCACTTTCAGCACGAGCAAACACCAAGTGCAACAAGTCATGAGAAGCAACTATCATATGGAATGTTGACCTTCAGGAAATCGAAGTGGCTCTCTGACAGCACAATCGTGGTCAAGCATTCTCAGACCACTGGTTTGTTTAAGTCCACCCAATTTTCAGTTGCGATGTCAGCCATGATAGCCCCTCTTGTTGGACCTGTTCCTTCCTGAGGTCGGAGGTGCTCTAATTCAGAGGTCTCTGGTTTTCTGCCTCCTGTTGGACGTGAAGAGCTCTGAGTGAATGGCCTAATCATGTAAGATTCTCTTCCGGCCAGAACGTCCTAGCTGCCCGCTTAGAGCTTAACGTCGTTGCTCTTGTGCTTGTGCAGGTTTCCCCACCCTCCGTGCATGCAAAAGGAATTCGAGAACACCAGGGAAAAGCCCAAGGTTACGGTAAGTATGAGGGAAGGGAGGCGGGAGCTCAAAGAACAAGTATAAGTAGCATCAATTAGCCTTGAAAAGAAGAAGTCTGAGAAGGAGAACCAAGAGGCCTTTGTTGGCAAGCAGCCCGAGGAGCCTGTCATGCCGTTCACGAAGGGTGCGCCCAGAACCTTTGTTGAGCGCCGATTAGCTGGCTGAGATATCCATGGAAGTCACCCAGTCAGGGCCAAGTCGGTGCGAGCACTTGGAACATGTAGATGCACGCCATTTCAGGACGGACCCATCCGGCACGGTGCCCATGTCATAGAGGATCCGGACGGCGTAACCCCATCCATTCCCCGCCCTGTTCTTGGCGGACGTGGACGCGTTGGCCGGGACTTACTGTAACCCGCCTTGTGCCGCACCTTCCGTCGAGGAAATACGCGTCCTCGTAGATTGGGTCCTAGGGTATGAACCTGGGAGGTACCTTCTCCAGTATACCCAGGAGGGCTCTAGCTGCCCGAAGCGCGGGCTGCAATTCATTTTCCGGGCCCCAGACGGGCGTTGCCCAATTCTTCATAACAAAATGACAAAAAAAATCCTTTCGCGCACACCATCGCGAGCTTTCGCAGAAGCATGTTTGAAGCAAAAACCAAGCCCTGAACTCTCAAAAGAACTCTTGACCCATACCCTCAACTCCAAAACTGAACCTGTAAGACCACAAAGCATGCCGCGAAGGTGAAATGGGGTTGGAACTTACCCAAGCCCTAAACTCCGACACCGAATTGCAGAAGCTATGTCGTCTCCCATGGCTTG